TGGGGTGTTAGAGAGCGGTTTCCCCCGCAGAGGGGAAAGAAAAAAACAAGGCACTTGAGGAGGAAAGGGGGTTCGGGGCTGTTTTTCTCGCGCTTCCAGTCACCTTTTTGTTTTCCGTGACCCCTGTAAAAGCGGTTTTTGATGTACCTGGCCCCCGTCTGCACCGGTGGGATTAAACGACCCATTTCACATGAGGAGGTGGGTCTTCCCAAAACGAAGGTATTAAAAGTATTGCCTCTCCAAACAGCGCCTGTTTCTAGGCCCGAACACCGACGTTGCGGTCAAATACGAGGAACGCGTACTTGCCTCCCTCTGGCGTAGGGCGGCAGAGCCTACCGCACGGTGGGCAACTGGGCCAGGGTAGGAGAAGATCCTACACCCCTGCAGTTTCTCTCTGTGCCTCCTCTCCCTTCCCCGGTGCTGGGGCGACGTTAGTGCTCCGCGCCTCCACTTGAAAAACCAGTCAAGATCCAGGGCCAGGAGTTTTCCCCTCTCCGCCGCAGGGCAGGCGCCAGAAGGAGCCCTTTTTTTCCCCCAACACGTGAAACACAAAGACTGGATCAGAGGACTTGCGCCCCGCCCCAGAAGTCAGAACCGCCAGCTTAAGAAACACGGGGGGGGAAAGCGGGCCTTCAAAGAACTGCAGGAACCCAGCTGCTGTCACAAACCAAAGCTCACACAGCCTCCCCCGCCACTGCACGGGAACGGGAACAGACAACACACGCGCTACAGTAACCCGGAAAGCGGCATCTTCTTTTTTCAACCAGTGGTTTAGTCCCCCTGAGGGGAGGTGCACCGTTCCCGGAGATACTGCAATACCAGGTCGATGCGTGGAGCGGACGGAGCAAGCTCCTATTCCGACTCCTAGCTCCAAAAATCCATTTAATATATTGTCCTCGGATAGAGGACGTATCAGATATTAAACTGATAAGAACAGATACTACACTTGATCTTAGCCAAAAGGCCGAGAAGCGATACCACCTCTCCGCCTCTGGCCGTTGCCCTCTTCCCTTCATCCCTATTCAAGCCATGGTGAGCGCCCTCATCCTCACGCCTCGTCTGCCTCCTTTTGCCTCGTCCACAGTGCTAGCACTAGACTCCTGTGCAGACTTTCTGTTCTCTACCTTTGTGAGGAGAAAGTCTGTGTACTTGATTGTCCCATCCTTCCCGCGCCGAACAGCCGTTTCTAATCTGCATGCTCCGCCTTCTGTCGCCCGGGGACGCGCGGCTGCCGCGGGCGGACTCCACCCTCCGGACCGGCTCCTCGCACCCGGAGCCCAGGCCAGACCCGGAGCCCGCCTCCTGGCCTCCTGGCCGGTGCACGTCCCGCCGCAGACCAGAGACAGGGGCGGCAGCCGGAGAATGCGAGGGGAGCGCTGACACGGTAGCAGCTGTCACGGTTCGAGCCCCAGCAATCAAGAACTTGCCTTTTGTCCACCGCTCTTCCCCCCCCACACGCACGGCACATTCAACAACCGTTCAATGAGTAAGAGTGCCTTCTCCACGCTTAGCCAGTGCCCGACACACGCCATGATTAAAGGCGGCTCTTCAGCCGCCACCGCCACCACCACCACCACCACCACCACACCACCACCACCACACCCCCTCGCCCCTCCTTGCTCGGGGCCGGTCTGCTCGCGTCGGTGTTCTCCCGCCCGGCTTCTGCCCGACGGTTCGGGTCCCCTGGGGGAACGGGTCGTCCTGAGAAGGGATGCCCTGGGTGACAGTCGTTGGAATGCAACAGTGCCCGTCGCAAATCAGTAACTTAGCATCTCCGTTTTCGCAGCGTGATTCACTCCCGCGGAGTTTGCTCAAATCGACGTGCACGGACTGAAGGGCCTGCGAATCGCGCCCGGCCCCCGTGCACGGCGCTCTGCGGAGGCCGGTCGCGTGCCCTTGTGCCCTCACGGTGGTGCAGGGCCGTCGCGGTCCCAGCCATCTTCACTGAAACGGAGCCTTGAAGCTCGGGAGATCACGGACGGTGACGGGAAGAGCACGGCAGGCGTTCCCCGGCACCGCCTCTTGCCCCGGCCTCGCCAACAACCCCACGTGGCATCAAACCTGCGAATGCTTTTTTGGTGCGGGGTGGGGAAAGGGGGGAGGGGTCGATCTCACAGGTGAAAATGGTACCTCGGCGTAGTTTGGATTTGCAGTTTTCTAATCTTGGGTAAATAAGGTTGAGCGTCCTCTCCTGTTGCAGAGACGCCTTTATTTTCTCTCCGTGAACTAACGCCTTGTTGGGGGTCTTCGGCCCTTTTCCTCCTGGATTCTCGGTTGGGCTTTATCCTAAGGGCGTGGATCTGCAATTTACACATTCAGGGGACTGGCGCTTTGTCTGTAATGGAAGCGGTGAACATTTTCTCCTGTTGGAGATCTGGCTTTGGCTTTACTTAAGGCGATGATTCCATTGCTTAAAGGTTTCATGGAAAGTTCTTTTTATATCATCATATTTATCAATTTAAAAAATATTCAGATTTTGAGTCGAAAGGATTTATAAAATAATTTCCTAAATCTTCCTCTAGGTCTTCTTGTTCTTGTTCTTTTTCTTTTTAAATATCTATCTATCTATTTATTTATTTATTGTTGGCTGTGTTCGGTCTTCGTTGCTGCGTGCGGGCTTTCTCTAGTTGCGGCGAGCGGGGGCTACTCTTCGTTGCCGCGCGCGGACTTCTCATTGCGGTGGCTTCTCTTGTTGTGTAGGCGCGCGGGCTTCAGTAGTTGTGGCACTCGGGCTTAGTTGCTCCGCGGCCTGTGGGATCTTCCCGGACCAGGGCTCGAACCCGTGTCCCCTGCATTGGCAGGTGGATTCTTAACCACGGCGCCACCAGGGAAGTCCCTCAATCCATATTTCTTGAATGAATAAACCCCATTGCATACTGTTCATTGGAATCTGATCTCGTGCTGCGGGGGGGGATGCCTTGGTAGGAGAGGTGTATGTCGAATGCTTCTCCTAGCGCCCTCTTGGCCTTTCCACCCTCTACCCCTAGGTAATCCCGAGACTGGAAAGTTCAAGTAAAATGATCATCCACTGGATTAATCATGTTTTAAGTTTTTCTATAATTTACGATGCTTTGACGTCTTGAGGGCCTGCTGGCCTGGAAGAGACTGCCCCTCGCAGGACTAACTAATTCCTAGAAGTGCAACCTACTTGCTTTGGGAGCCTGCTGTTCACGTGCAAAGCAATCTTCCAACACCCGTATCTGCAACTGCCTCCTCTAGTTACTCTCACACTCCAGCTAGTATTTCCCCTGCCCTCTCTGACCCCAGGGCCCGGTACCTCACAACTAGAGAACAGCCCTGTAGCCCAAAGCTCACCGAATGCTATTCTAATGGTCCAATCCGAACCTTGCTCAAACTGGCCTACCTTGATGCCTCTGCCCATTCTCCCCACCCTCCCCTCCCCTCCCCAGGACGATAAAGGCCATATACTCTCCTCTCCTGCCTCCCAACCGAGCAGGCCAGGCCGAGTCCCTATGTGGCTCGCTGCAGGGTGTGGCGTGCCCTCTTCTCTTGGGAACTGTAAGTAATAAAACTCCTTCAGTGGCACTGACCTCTCCTTGTCAGTCAGCTGTATACAGTACAACCAACACACACACCTAAGTGAAAAGCCCATCACTTTTTTTTTTTTTTTAAATATAAATTTATTTACTTTTGGCTGCGTTGGATCGTCGTTGCTGCTCGGGGCCTTGCTCTCGTTGCGGCGAGCGGGGGTTACTGTTCGTTGCGGTGCGCGGGCTTCTCATTGCGGTGGCTTCTCTTGTTGCGGGCTCTAGGCGTGCGGGCTGCAGTAGCTGCAGCACGCAGGCTCAGTAGTTGTGGCACACGGGCTTAGTTGCTCCGCGGCCTGTGGGATCTTCCTGGACCAGGGCTCGAACCCGTGTCCCCTGCACTGGCAGGCGGATTGTTAACCACTGGGCCACCAGAGAAGCCCGGAAAGCCCATCATTTAAACCTCCATTCCGGGTGGATCCTCGTGGCTCTCAGCGGGAGCTGCCCTCGCGCTCGGTCCTTTTCTGCCTGTGGATTTTTTTTTTTTTTTTTTTTTTTTCCCCGCGGTACGCGGGCCTCTCACTGTGGTGGCCCAGGAGCTCCGGATGCGCAGGCTCAGCGGCCATGGCTCACGGGCCCAGCCGCTCCACGGCATGTGGGATCTTCCCGGACCGGGGCACGAACCCGTGTCCCCCGCATCGGCAGGCGGACTCTCAACCACTGCGCCACCAGGGAAGCCCTGCCTGTGGATATCGACGTCAGGAAACACTAGGACAGAAGTAATGCTGGAGGCACCAAAAGAAGTCGGGGGAAGTAGAGACGGAAGAACAGAAGACTCAAGCTACTGTTTTCTTCCTGCTTTGAGGGTGACGTGGAAACGGTCTGGGAGCCTCAAGACGAAGCTTGGATACCCTCTCCGCTCCTTTCCTAGTTTCCACAGACGGAGGAATGTGGGAGAGAGACCCCCTGAGAAGACTGTGGGGCAGAAACTATGTCCTCCAGAGGACGCCAAGTTTGAGCCAAAGCACAAAGCTGCACTTCGAGAGAAGGCAGAAAAGAGAAGAAATTCTTAGCGCAAGAACACGGTTTAAAATTGGGGGAAAATGAGAGAAAAATGGAGAAAGGGACGTTCAGTTACCTAACAGAAGGAGAGAGACGGCAAGGTGAATGCGAAAACAGCCAAAGCACACAGGGCAGTCACCTTGTGGTCGTGGGTCCTTCCGCCAACCAGTACGAAGGCCCTCCCAACGCTGAAGAATGGGAAACTGTGAGAGCGCTCTCTCAGTCACAGCGGTTCTTTCCTCTACCCAACTGAACTTGCTCCTTTTTCTGCACATACAACCTATCTATACAAACAAATCTACAAGAAAAACAGACGCAAAAGATTTTAAAAACACTATCGAGAGGGGAAAAAAGCTCTGGTCCAGTCCGACAGAAAAAGCTTCGCTAAAGGAGCGCACAGCGACACACGACACACGGCTCTTACTTTTTAAACCTCAATTATCTCCCCGGGAGGGGTGCACCAGTCCTGGAAATACTGCAATACCAGGTCGATGCGTGGAGCGGGCGGAGCGGGCGGAGCAAGCTCCCACCCCGACTCCGGAATCCAAAAATCCGTTTAATATGATGTTCTCGGGTAGAGAACGTATCAGATATTAAACTGATAAGAACAGATACTACACTTGATCTTAGCCAAAAGGCCGAGAAGCGATACCCAACAGCCTGCCATCCCTGTCACCGTCCCCCTCGCATCCATATTGGACTCAGTGTGACCCCTGTCACTGCTCACTCGAGGTCTCACTTCCTTTGCTTCGGTGACAGTACTGTGGGTGGCACCACACCACACTCTCGTGCAGAGTTTTTATTCTCTACATTGTAGAAGAGGAATTCTGGATCTGTTGTAGCTTCGTCGTTCTCGGGCTGGAGCGCCATTTTATATTTGCATGCCCCGCCCCCGCCCGCCCAAGGGGGCGTGGCTCCGGCGGGCTGACCTTATCCTCTGGGCTGCTGCGGGGGAGCTCCTCTTTGGCATCAATGCGAGCGGAGACAAAAGACCGAACCGTAGGGGATTCGGGGTGGGCGGCTAGAGGGGCCTGTGGGAGGAGCCGTTGGCTGAGAGTTTTCCTGAAGACGAGGTCGCAAGACACTTTCGCTGGAAACGTCCAGACTGCAATGTGTTAAATAGGCCTCCGCTTCGTAGGGTCGGATGGGGCGCTCATTCTGAGTCCGGGGAGCGGAAGGTCTAGAGTGGGGGCTTCCCAGGGCCGGTGGGGTAATCTCCCTGCCAGGCGGAAGGCGGATGGCCCACAGTGGGGAAGGGAGGAGGTGTGTGGACGCAGAGGGCCGGGCTGAGCAGCTGGAGGGATTCTCTCCAACTCAAGCGCCTGCGTCGGTCGGTGCTTCTACGAATGAACCCAGATCCCGGGCTTCCTACAGAAAGCTTCCTCTGCCTGAGACCTCCTTTCCCTCCACCTCCTCCTCACCTGTCTAATTCTTACGCAGAGCCTCTGGGCTCCGCTTCGGCTTCAGCTGCCCCAGCAAGCCTTCCTCATGGGCTCTTCCGCACCGCACCGCACCGCACCGCACCCCACCCCAGGATGATTGCGGCCCTCCTTTGTGTTTCATCCCACCCCAGACTTCGAGTCCACCATTCACCACTCGTTGGGGGCGGTCCTGTATCTCCGCCACTGAAATCTGAGATCCTTGAGGGCGGCGACCCTCATCAGCAAGCACTTAACCTCTGTGTCCCAGCACTAGGCCAGGGCCCGGCCTGTAGGAGGTGCACAGTAAACGTTTGCTGAGTGAACAGAAGGTGTGCAAAACAGACTGAATCGGAGAAGCGCTTAGGAGGGTCCTGGCCCGATCCAGGGGTGAAGAGGGGAAGATCTGGCCTGGGGTGGCAGGACACCAGAGAGGAGAGTGACTGCCAGGGACGCTCTGGGCATCAAGGCCCGTAAATAAATTAAGGCCTCTGGCAAAGTGGGGATGAAGTTTCGCAGCGGCAACGCTTCTCTGTGGCAAAGGCCGCAGGCTGCCCAGGCAGCGTAAACCTTTTCCATCCCCCTTCCTAACAGAGCTTCACTTTAGTTGGGGAGTTTCTATTTCTTTCACTGGATCTCAGAAGAGCTCTTAGAAGGTATCACTGATGCAGGACTGAAACCCAATGGGGTCGTTTCACCCTGCCGCAGGGAAAGCCTGATGGCGGGTGCTGCCTGAGCCCTTCCCAGTGCCCGCCCCTCTGCCGAGCGCTCCGTGTGTATTAACTCATTTGATTCTCCCCGTAACTCCGCGGGGTGGGTATCAGTATTATTATCCGGGGCCAGGACTAGGTGAGGCCAGTGAGAAACTAGTCTTCGGGGCGGGCGGGCGAAACATTTAAGGGAGTGCCGCCCCGAAACGCTCTTCAGCAATCAAGATAAGGAATATTTTGATACAGTGCATCTTGCCTGGATCCTAAGATAATCGAGAGATTTATTTTGATTACTGGGTTTTTGGTGCTCCCTGAAATTTTTTGGCCAAGGCAAGCGCCTCACTCGTTTCCCTCCACTCTCATCCCCATTCTGTTGACCTGCGCTGTCACAGCCACTAGCCACTCGCAGCTAGGGAGCGCTAGGAAGGTGGTTCCTCCTAACCCATATGTGCTGTTAAGTGTGAAATACACACGGGATCGCAAAGGCTTGGTATTAAAAACTGTCAAATAGCTCCGTATTAATTACGTGTTGAAGTGGTATTTCAGATATCTGTTTTTGTTTTTTGTTCTATTTTTGTGGCCGCGCCGCAGCTCCCGGTAACCCCGACCAGGAATCAAACCCGGTCCCGCCACCCCCACCCCCACCCCCATTCTTATCCTCCCGCCCGGGCCCGCTGGCTGCCCTGACCGGGACAGTCTGGTCAGCTTCCAGGTCAGGAGGCCAACATGAGCGTTGCATCAAGGAGTTCCAGTCCAGAGGCCGAGAAACCTTTCGTGGGGCTCAGATCTACTCACCGACGGTTTGTTAGTGCCTCCGTGTGTGAGCCAGGCACTGCTTATGGCACGTTCCTGGTCACAATCTCATTTTACCTTTACAGGACCCTGAGGAAGTGTCATCACCCCCAAACCTCAGAGGGGAGAGAGGCTGCCTGACTCACCCCCGGGGCTTCCAAAGGTCTTCCAAGGGCAGAGGTCTTCCCCCGAGGCCCGGCAGCCAACTGTCAGGCACAGCCCTTGGCTCATCCGGATATTCTTCTCTCTGGCAATGACTTGCTGAGTGCCTCTGACAGGCCAGAGCTGTTAGGGGTTCGGAGTTACCATAACAGATCGCTGTTGCAGAGGTACAGGAGAACATTGAAAGTACTCATCGTCAGGGAAAACATACAGCGTTTAGGGTCACTTCCTAGTAATCTGTTCTAGGCCCTTGCTGCTCAAAGCGCGAGTCTGTGAACAGCAACATCCGCATCGCCCTGGAGCCGGTGAGAAATGCAGGACGCAGGCACCAAGTCACACCTCCGGTCTTAGTTTGAGAGGGCTGCCAGGGCTGCCAAAATACAACGCCACAGGCCGGTGGCTTCAAGAACGTAAATGGATTTTGTCACAGTTCCGGAGACTGGAAGTCCCCGATCGGGGCGCCAGCCTGGCAGGGTTCTGGGGATAGTCTTGGCTTGGCTTGCACGTGGTGGACTCCCCTCCCTCTCCTCACGTGTTAGAGAGAGGGAAAGGATAAGCTCTCCCGTGCCTCCTCTCATTGGGGAGCTAATCCCAACAAGAGGACCCCATCCCCCATCACCTCTTCCAAACCTCACCGGCCCCAGAGGCCTCCCCTCCGGATAGAGCTTACAGATACGAACTTTGGGGGCACAACTCAGTCCGTGACCCCTACTGAACCAGAACCTGCATTCCTGTAAGGTCCACAGGCGACCCCCGTGCACCTTAGATTGAGAAGATTGAGAAGCACTGATTTCTTAAGTCACACACACTGGAAAACAATGTGAGTTTTGGTGGTCAAAGTTGATGTGTTACTTTGTACGTTTCCCGAGGAAGATTAAACTAGCTTCCTGGGCCAAACTCACCGCTACGAGCCACAGAGAACTCACTGTATGCCAGTCCCTTGGCTGAGTACTTCACACACTCCATCTTACTTAATTCTCCTGGTAACACTATGAGGTAGGTATTTAAACCCGGACGGAGACCACTCTTTATCCTTCCTCGCGCGTGGTGAACTTTCGTTCAAACCGCACAAGACTCACAGCAGAAGTAGATCCCGCAACTTACGCGCGGTGGGCTCTTTTTTCAAACCCGAACACGAACTCTCATCTCCTCACGCTGCCCCGTAGAAAGTTGGGGACAAGGTTCCGCAGAAAGTACCCTTCTCTTCCCTCCCACTAGTCACGCTTCGCAAACACCCATAACCTAGCCACTTAGGTCCGCAAGATGAACAGCAGACACAAAAAGAACTTCCACAGAAGGGCAGTGTTACACCTCGCAAACGTAAAAAAAAAAAAAAACCTGTAACTGGGCGATAAAAAAACCATAAACCACAGCTCTTACTTTTTAAACCTCAGTTATTTCCCCGGGAAGGGTGCACCAGTCCTGGAAATACTGCAATACCAGGTCGATGCGTGGAGCGGGCGGAGCAAGCTCCCACCCCGACTCCGGAATCCAAAAATCCGTTTAATACGATGTTCTCGGGTAGAGAACGTATCAGATATTAAACTGATAAGAACAGATACTACACTTGATCTTAGCCAAAAGGCCGAGAAGCGATACCCAGCGACCTGCCATCGCTGTCTCCGTCCTCCTCGCATCCATATTGGACTCAGTGTGACCCCTGTCACTGCTCACTCGAGGTCTCACTTCCTTTGCTTCGGTGACAGTACTGTGGGTGGCACCACACCACACTCTCGGGAAGATTTTTTATTCTCTACACCGTAGAAGAGGAATTCGGTACCTGCGGTAGCTTCGCCGTCCTCGGGCTGGAGCGCCATTTTAAATTTGCATGCCCCGCCCTCTCCGCGCGGGTAGGTGTAGCCGCGCGGGTTGATCCGCCCAGTCCTCGGCACCGCCTCTGCGCGCACGAGCGGAGGCTGGGCCGGGGCGGACCTCTTCGTTGGCACCAGCTCTCCCGTAGACAGAATTCGGGGGAATTGGGGGTGGGAGAATAGAGGAGGGCGTCTGCGCAATTGATTCGCAGCAGACTGGTCCGAGTACGAAAAACGTCATCTGGTCTTCACTGTGAAGACGACAGGGTCCCACGGGCTGGCTCTGTCCAGGCCGAAGACCCAGTCGAAGGCTGGGAGTCCAGGAGTGCCTGTCCGGTGTCGCCTGGCAGGGGCTGCGGTGAGAACTGGGGACCCGAGATCGCTCCCTGCGAGCACTGCTGCCCTGGTTGTCAGGACCCCCGCCCTGCCGCGGCTGCAGGCCACTAGGGCAAACTCCTTCACCTCCAGAGCCTTAACTCCCCAGCTGAGAAGTGGAAACCTTAGTGCCTACCGTGTGGGGTTGAGGGGCTATAAAGGGAGCTAGTGAGGCGACCTTGGTTTGGTAGTCTAGAATGTGGGCCCTAGTGTCCAACGAGGTTCCAGTGAAGGCGTCATGGCTGTGACACTGAAACAACTGAGCAGCTGTGTTGCCTGTAACAACACAAGAGGAAACATTTATTGCTTGGGCCGGGCTTTGCGCTAAGTGCTTTCCTTATATCAGACTTTCAAAGTTTACCTACAGACGGAGCGGTTGACACAGAGAGGGTGAGCAACTTTGCCCAAGACTACACAGCTACTTAGCGGAAGAGGTCGGATCCATCTATGAAGAGCACGGGACCTAGAAAAGGGCACCAAAAGAAAGAGAAGTGGTTCTTGTGTGTCCCGCCCACTATGAGAGTAAGTGTTGCTGAGCCTGACACACAGGTCTGTCTGAAGAGAGACAGGAACAAGCTGTCTGGTGCAGCGGTTAAGAGCAGAGACTCGGAACACCTAGTCTCTAATCCCGCTCCACCTGTTAATAATCACGTGACCTGGTGCGTGACTTGGCCTCCCCGCTTAACCGTCTGTCTTCGGTGTAGCCACGTTATCTGTAAATTGGAGATAAGGAAATGAGAAATTATTAGACACGATCTTAAGAATTACGAGACACGCCTGGGATATGGTATTCCTGTAAGTACCAAATGTAAGGGAAAATATCGCAACTCACTTCTCTGTAGCTTACCCTCTTCATCTAGAAAAATGAGAATATTAACATATAGTCCTGTGCTCAATCTCCCCTCGTTCTCCTGGTTTTATTTTACTCCATAGCACATGTCACCTGACATCTTACACGTTTATTTGTTTATTGCCTTCTAGCCTAATAGCATGTAAGTAAGCTCCAGAGCAGGGAACTTTATCTCCTCAGTGTTTAGAATACGGCCTGACACATGCTAGACACATGAACACACGAATCTGGTTGAACACATGAATGTGTAAATATTAAATAATGCGATTTGTCCGTACAGAAAGAGATTAGCAGGCCTCCTGGCTCGCGGTAATTATTACGACCCTCACTGTGTTCCACTACATTTCTGCTTGCTTCCATGTTTATCAGGTCATCTTGTGCTCACCAGTTTAGCTTCCTAGGTATTTTGATCTTTAGAACGAGGTACCTTGGATTGCAGACATGCATGTTCTGTCATTGCAAAGCCGTATCTCCCTTTGTCAATTAACGACTTAGCATTCTAATTCACGCACCAGCTTCTTGTGAGTTCGGTTAACGTGAGTCAGTGCCCCTCAGCCAGCTCACATCCATGTGTACAGACGAAAGTGCCTATAAAAGTTCAGGCAACACCAGGACGTGGCTGGCTGGTGAGCCTTCCTTTGTCCAAGCGTCCTACAATCTCACTATGGACCCAGTTATCATTGCTGCCAGGGAGTTGGAAATGATAAGCCAGAGACAGAGACTGGAAGAGCACAGATAGCCTTCTCAACCAGTGCGTTTCCCACAGCCTTGCCCAACCATCATGTTATCAAACTTTTGCATACTATCCAATGTTATCTCTTACTATGAGCAAGGTTGCACAGCTTTTCATGCGCTTGAGATCCATTATTATTTTCTGTGAACTGCGCGTTCCTATCCCCTGCCCACCGTCTTTTGAACTGTTGATCTTTTCGCGTTTCCATCTCTGACCTACTTCCCATTTGTCCTAGTATTTGAGTTCAGGTATAGATCTGATTTTATTTTGTCTGGATGGCTACCCAGTTGTCCCAATATCATATATGAAATAGTCCATCTTCTCATCAGTTTCAGATGCCAACTTTACCATATTAAAAAGTGAGTGTATACACACACACACACACACACACACACACACACACACACACACACACATATATATGACTTCTCTTTTTTTTTTTTTAGAAAATCTTCTGATATCCTGTTTTTAAGAGTCTTGATTCAACTGATTCTCTGGTATCACACCTAACTCTGTGCCTGTCACCGTGTGGGTCCTGGGATCACACAGGTGAACGTGACCTCGTCCCTGTGGTCAGCAAGGGGCATCTGCCGTGTTCTTCCATTCCTCTCCTCTGGCTGCCGCTCAACCACATCCACTGCTCTTTGCTGCCGAGGAAGCCTTGCACGCTCAGATAAGGTCTGCCCGTGCCGAGGCTGCCAACTCCAAGCGCTTCTAAGTGTTCCATCCCTGGGCATCAGAAGCCTGCTGGGTGCCCTGCCAGCTGGGGAGGACAGCCTCTTCAAGTCCAGGCCTCACTGTATCTGTTTTTCCTGGCCCTGCAGCAGCGCTGCCTTCCCCTCAAGTTTTACCCTGACCCCTTGGACAGCTCCCTCAGGTTTCTTTTCATCACTTGTCAGCTTGCCCTAGTTGAAGAGACAGGGAGGGAGATACCATTTTGTTTTCTCTGACCTCCTCTCCCTTCTCTCTGACCCCGCCCTCTCGCCCTCAATTCTCCTTTCTCCCGCCTTCTCCCTTTTCCCAGTCACAGAACAAAAGCTTTCACTTTTATGACTAGCAACAGAACTGGATCGGTCTGTCTGACTTCGCAGTCGGAAAGGGAGATGGTTTTTCCCAGCCACGTGATCAGGGGGTGCGCGTGGACCAGCAGACCTTCTGCTCCTCACCCCCCTGCCCCCGCCCCGAACGTGCTCGGGGTCCTGGCGCTACAACGTAAGAGTCTGTGTGCTGGAGAGCAAGTTTCCTGCCCGGCTAGACTGGATCCATCAAACTAGTTAGACTCAACCAAGAACTGGGCTTTTCGCAACTTGGCTGCCATCACGGAGGCCAGCAAATCCCCACATTTTCTTTTTGGTCTTTCAACAGCCCCCAACAGAAGGCGTCACACTCCACAGTGATGCCTGATTTTGTCCATTCCAAGATGCCCATCGTTTTCACAGCTTTACGTCTCAGGAGCCAGCATGCGTCTTACATTCGACGCCAGGAGAAAGCACTCTCGCCGTTTAACATCGCAGCACGTCTTTCTTTGTTTCTTTCGTCCTGTCTTTCTTCAGGGCTAGGTAAAAGAACGGTACCTCTCACAAAAGATGGCATCTTAAATTCGTGAACTACTATAACAATAAAAGCCTCTGTTTATTGAACCCGATGTGTGACGTGGATTATTTCCTCCCAGCATCACAACACCTCCAGGATGGAGGTATCATGACCCCTACCCTGCAGGGGAGGAGGCTGATCAGAGCTGGGAGAGCCGCTAGATCGCATTCGCACGCCTGTTAAATAACGCAGCCGGTATTTCATAAGATTTACCTGGCCCACGCTTCTAACTGTACCCTGTTCTCTCCGCAGCAAAGGATTCTGGGTCTCTATAATAACCAGCTCTATTAAAAATGCAATGTGCGAGTGGCTACAATCAGTTAACAGCACGGGAAGTTCCCCGAGGGCTGATATGAGTTAAAATCCAAATCGACAGGGGGCGGAGTGGGCTACGGAGTAGAATCGAGAGCTGGAAGGAGTTCTGAGGTCAGAGGTGGGGTTGGGAGAGGCAGCTTGCACAGGGGGAAGGCACGAGAGGGGCTCGGAAAGGGAGATGAGAATCGGGAGGGCGCAGCCTTGGCAGATTTGCCCTGAAAATCCCTCCTCTCGCGGGAGGACTGGCTCAGAGGGTTGGAAACAGTTCCCCAGATTCAGCCCAGCCCACCTCCCCTACCCTGAGCGTCTCCACATCTGAGCCCTGGTCCTCCTAAGGTAGGAGGACAGGAAGAGGGAAATCGAGGGAGGAAGAGATACCAACAGGAACCCGCTTCCTCTTTTGCCCATTTAATGACGGAGACAGTCAAGTGCCTTTCTCTTTCTCTTTCTCTTAAAATAGGTACTTTCCACCTAAATATTCGCAGAATTCGTTTATAGGAAGATAAATGTGCTGTGAAAATAAATGTCCAGTGACAAGCCTCCATTTCATTTTTTGTATCTGGAAACCCTTGTGTATCTGTCCTTGCAAATGACATCCCTGGGTGCTAGGACGAGGAGAAGGGAGTATAGCACCTCTTTGAAAAAGGGAGAAAGTTTTCCGGCAAGGCTCAGGTCCCACTGGCCCCTCAGCAGAGCTGGGGCGCCCCCAGCAGCTGGCCATAGCCAGATGCCCACTGTGACGGTGGGCACTTCCCAAGCATCCTATAGTGTCTTCCAACAACCTTCAGAGGAAAGGCTCAGAGACGCTGAGTGACCTGCCCAAGTTCCCCCAGGTAGTCGGTGACACAGGCGGGATTGAACCCGAGTCTGTTTGACTCCAGAGCGCTAGATGACTCCACCAGACTGGCCGCCTGAACTGACAGACGGACTCTCTGTTTGAGGTTCAAACTCTCTGTTTGAACCCGTTTTCAGGTTCAAGGGCTGCACCCTGCACCCTCCCTCCACCAACAACAGTGCTTGAGGCTGAGGCCGGGTCGAAGCCCCTTCTCCACCTATACCCTCCTCTTGCTTCCAGTTGGACTCAGCCTCTGCCGTTTCTAGAAAAATTTATATCTTTGGGGAAAGACCAACAGTCCACCCAGTCCCTGCCCCCAGAAGCCTTCCCCCGGGCTTCACGAAATGACACCCTCCCCTGGCCACTCCACCTCCTGAAGACCCAAGGAGTTCAAAATGACTCTCCCCAGAATGTGCCACTTCGGCCTGGGGCTATTTGCGTTGAAGGCCGTGGAGGCCCCAAGGACACAGGAAGAGCTTTCTACCTCCCCCTCAACTGCCTAAAGAATTTAGATAGGGGGCCTGGCTCAGAGAGAGTTATTATCAGAGACAACTTTTATCTGAGAGACCCACCTGCACAGCAGGGCAACATCCCATGACAAGAAGGGCAAACGTCTGGTCTGCCCGTCTTTTTGTCCCGGTGACTCACCCTTCTCTGCTTTGAAGCCCAGGCCCTTATCGCATTCCTTAGCTCAGGAGGGCATATAAGCCTCAGCTGCCCTTGGGTCTCGTATCCTTATGGGATCCCTGAACATACGTAATTATACCTGTTTTTCTCCTATGAGTCTGTCCGATGTCAATCTGGTCATTAGACCAGCCCACAGAACCTAGAAGGCTAGAGGACGAATTTTTCCTCCCCAACGGGATGAAAATCGGGTAGGATAATAAATAATACCAACCTGTAGCTGAGCGATTTTATATTTCATTTCACATACCTCTCATCCATTGACCCACGTGGTCCTGTGTGAACCCCGTGAGGAAGGTAACAAGTGCTACCCTTCTGGTTTTCCGGGCAAGGAAACTGAGGCCCAGAGAGGTGAGCTGAGTCCCGGGTCAGAGGAAGAGAGGGAGGGTAGGCTTGAGCCCGGTGCATCCAATCCCCGGAACCAGGGTGCTTTCTAATAAGCCACTTTGCCTTCACAGAGCTCACACCTCAGTGAGAGCTGGCCGGGTCTCGTATCTTCTTTTCCTTTTTTTGGTCTTCTGTGGCCGCTCCACGCGGCATGCGGGCTCTTAGTTCCCCAACCAGGGATGGAACCTGTGCCCCCTGCAGTGGAAGCGCGGAGTCCTAACCACTGGACCACCGGGGAAGTCCCTGTTTGTTCTTGAGTCAGCACAGCGGGGGAGACGGAGGACTGAGGGAGGAGGGAAGGGAGGGGTCAGCAGAGGGCCAGATGAGGAGGCTGGAATCCTGGGAAGGGTGGGAGAAAGAAACCGGAGAGGAAAGCCAGACCACTCGGGGGATCGTCCCCCGGGGCCCCCTGAAACTCAAGGCTTAGGTGGAAAGGTGTCTTCTACCTGCCCAGGGCCCTGGAGAGAAAGGTACTTTACAGATGCTCTCTAGGAGGCGTGGGAAGAACACCCCCCTCCTTCCCAGGGCAGGCGGGGGTGGTGGGTGGGGGGTGGCGGGGGGGGGGGGCGGGGAGGGGCTGCCCAGTTGCCCCCGGTAGCGGCCGGCCGTATTGTGAGGTGGTTCTGGTCACAGGCCAGGGGGTTGAGGTGGGAGGAGACGGAAGTGGTGGGGGCAGTGGCAGCCTCCTGGGCTCTGCCTGCCCCCAGCCCCTGCCTGGGGCCTTCTGTCACCGCCACCATCATGGGCAGTGCGTACCACTGGGAGGCCAGTCGCCGGCAGATGGCTTTGGGCCGGAGGAGGTGGCTGATGGCCCAGCAGCAGCAGCAGCAAGAGCAGGTGCATGAGAGGGGCCCCGTTCACCAGGGTCCTTCCGGGGACACGGAGGGGATGGGGAGGGGAGACGACGGACCCCAAGGAAGCTGTCCATTACCTGGTGAATGTTGTTTTGCTTGGGCTGGAGGCAAGCAAGGTCCTTGGATGTCTTGGATGGACCGTGTGTGTGTGTGTGTGTGTGTGTGTGTGTGTGTGTGTGTGTGTGT